AGGTAGTAGGCTGCTAACTGAACAGTGATTGGTTTGAACTCACCAGCAGCTCTGTAGGAGAAAGATGAGGCAGTCTGCGTTAGTAAAGACTGACAGCCTTGTAAACACTATGAGGATGTTCCACTCTGTCCCCTAGGGGTGCTGTGAGTTGGCATTAACTCAATGGTAATAGGTTTGTTTGGCTTCATTTCCATAAAAATTTACAGCCTTGGAAACCATATGGGGCAGTTCTACTCTGTGCAATAGGATTATTATGAGTCGGGATCAACTCTACGACAGTGGGTTGGATTTGGTTTGGTTTAAAACAAAGCTGCTATTCAGAACACTGTACACCTCATCAACTCGAGGAAGAAACATCAAAGAAACCTATTCAGATAAAAGTCCCATCAAATACTGATATTCCCTAGGGAACTGATCTTTCTCCTCAAGAACTGGGCATAGCATTTAAATTATAATGATTCTCTTTGGTTGGCCAGAAGAATTTTAAATGCAATTTGACAGCTAATGTAACCCAAATAATCCCCATATTATATTTAATGTCAGTAATTTTGTGCTAATCTTATGAACAATATATTCCTGATCCAATGCAGCCTGATGCTGAAGTCAGAGTATAAGTTTATTTCTCTCTAGTATCTACTTTTCCAATTTATACTTTTCAGATGAACTGAAAAGATATTTCCCAGGCCTCTACAAACTCACTAAGATACAAAGGGAAGCATAAAACAAAACAAAAGTCACGTGAGCCTTGACCATTTTCTTTTGTTCTTGGGATACTGTCAGTTACTGGAGTGTTCTGTCTTTTGTGTTTCTTGAACCAGGTCTAATTTCTCTCAAGATATCTCAGTATCCTGTAAAGGGTGTCACCAGAAATGACAATACCCAAAATTATAACCTTTTCCTCCTTCCTTCAAGTGATTCTCTTGCTGCTGGGGAGTCAGAACTGTAGATTGAAGGGGAAATTCAATGGCAGTGGTACATTCCCCCTGGGCCCAGATGCTGTCACTCCTTCTGGCACGCTTCTTAACACAAA